TTTTTTTTTTTTTTTTTTTTTTTTTCAAAGGGCGATGGCCTTGAGGTGTTATCATCGGACTAACCAGCCCAGGTAAATTCAATCTTGTGTCTAATCTGAGACCGGGTGGCCTTTTCAGCCCAGGGTGGCCTGATAGCCTTAGGGTGACCTGATAGCCTTCAGGGAACCCCCACAGGGGACACCGGCCAGGGGACAGCCGGTAGCAGAGGGACCGAGCATCATCTGAGTGGCCAGTCGCTGTGCCTCACTGAGTACCCCTCCCCCTATGAACATCAGCAGAGACTGCTTTTTAATGCCAATTGGAGGTACCAATGGGTTATCTCTAGGTGGCGGGCGCCAAGCATGCCCAGGAAGGTACGTGAACGGGGATTGAACCCAAGACCTCCTGAATGCCACTTGCCCTTAAAAAGACAAAACAACAAAAAGAAACCGTTTCTCAACAAAAAAAGACCAAAAAAAGGAAAAAAAGGCCGTTTGTTCTAAAACAAAAAACAAAAATTGGAGTTGGACGAATGGTTGGTTAGCATAGACTGAATACCTGGGCGCTCGGTATATCTCTGCAGTAGGAGGACAGTAGAAAGAGGTAAGAGAGGTAGAAGGGAGTGCCACGGCGTTCTAATGGAGCTGGGCTCCTCTCCCCGCTGATAGGGGTAGGTTCTTCTTGCTTCGATCGCTTGGGACTTGAAATGTGATTTGAAGTCGGTAGGGGGCTGGTCCCCTCAGGGTGTGGTCCCACCCCGTAAGCTAACTCTGGGTAATGCTCCCAGCTTTTCCGGGTAGACTGTGAGGACCCCGGCCTCTGGTTCAATCATATTTTGGAAATATAAGCCTTGGGCACTGGGCCCGTATTTGAGGGGGAAAAAAAAAAAGAAAAAAAAAAAGGCCGTTTATAGCAGTGGCCGGACACAGACGTGGGCCAGGTTCCACTGTAAAAGAGGACAGAATCGACTGTCCGAATCTGGACGTGTTTATGGAGAGGTGCAGGAAATCAAAATTGGACTGCTTTTGTGCATCTCTGCGTAAAAGACATCCAGATTCAGGAGCTTGATCGTATCGTCTTTGCAAGTTCGGCCGTGGACGATGCTGCGAACTACGGGCTGCTGCATCTATGCCTACAACACATCCAGATTCACGAGATTGACCCTATCCTCTTTGCTACTTCGGCCATAGACGAAGCTGCGAACTACGGGCTGCAAACTGACCGTTTTCTCAACTCCAACCAGCCGCTGTTAGGCTGGTTACAGGCGGACTCCTTTCGTAGGCCAGAGAGGCCACCTCCTCTCCCTTCCTTAGCCCCATTAGCTCCTCTCCCCTGCTCTTCATCCTCCCTTTCCTTATATCACAGTCTCCTCTTCACCTCCCCCCCACCTCCCCTCCACTCTCCTTCCATCCCACAGCTTTGCCCAACCTGGACCCCAATCCCCGTCCTAAGATCCCCTATCCTGAGGCTACAACGGTAACCACCCTCCCACACTACCTATGCTCCCCCACACCAGAGTAGTTCAGCATAGCTGAAACCTTTCTGTTAGTCTTTTAATTCAATCTGATGACTTTCGGTTCCTAAAGGTGTCGTAAGAAGCGAAACGGGCTAATGCTGCCAGAGGCTACTGTTCCGGGTTGAATTGTGGGGACCCCGGCCCCGAAGCTCCGCTTATGCAATCAAAAACAAAAAAAAAAAAGACAATAAAACTGCGTACAGAGGCCCCACTGGATTTCCTGCACATCTCCACAAACACGTCCAGATTCAGACAGTCGACCCGATCCTTTTTGCGAGTGGGACATCGCCCACGTCTGTGCTCTGCCGACAGAGCACAGACGTTGACGAGGTCCCACTAGCAAGGAGGATTAGAACGACGGTATGAATCTGGACGTGTTTGTGAAGAGATGAAAATCGAGATTGAACTGCTTTTTTTTTTCTTTTTTTTTTTTTTGAACTGCTTTTCTGCCTCGCTCCGTGAGGGGAGGCACGGGGGATTGGTCCGCTTTATCCCTGGTGCTACCGGCCGTCCCCTGGCCGGTATCCTGCAGGCTCGAGGGGCCGTAAAAACACGGCTCTGGTATGCTACGGGTTTCCCGTATGCCTATAAGTAGGAGTAGTGGTAGGTAGGTAGTGTGAGGAAAA